ATATTTGTACGTGTTGATGAGGTCCCCTCTCAGTCTTCTCTTCTCCAGGCTGAACGGGCCCAACTCTCAGCCTTTCCTCGTAGGGGAGGTGCTCCAGTCCCTTTATCATCCTAGTTGCTCTCCTCTGGACTCTTTCTAGGAGGGAACTGTTTAACTCCAAACAAACTGTATTAACCGACGACTTCAAATGTCATGGAAACACTTCTCATACCAACAGGCTTTGCAGCATTTTTCCTTTTTTTTTTTTTTTTTTTTCCAAATTCTATGAATACTTTTGGAAACCCCTCAAGGGTTTCAGCTGTAACGCTGGGTTTTTTTATTTGATATTTTGAAGGAAACAGCCTTTTTGGACAAGACTTAATTTCTTGGAGGTTAGCAGATCAGTCACTAGCATGCTAGTTGTCATTAACAGCGTTTGTAATGACTGTGAAACAAAACATGAGAAGGAAACGAGATGGCAAAGGAAACATTATCAGATGACTTTGTTGTGAGCTCTTTACGCCGCTAAGATTGGAGTTCATGGGAACTTTTTCCGACTGTGCAAACAGAAGCCAACAGCTAAATTATTTTCCCTGAGATTTTTACTTGCAATGGGACAATCAACGTGGCTTTTTGGTACAAAATTATTGATTGACGTTTTGGAAGTCTGGTTGCATGATCAATGGGAAGAAGTCAGTTGCTGCAGAATTACTGTCCTGTGAAATGAAAGCAAAGGTACACGAATTAAAATTGCTCTTGGCCACTGAATATGGTTCTTTTCCGAGGGTGAAGATGTTCGTTTATTCTTTTGTGCGCTCGGTTGCACGTGTGGTACAATCTGTGTAATCAGAAGCGTTGCATTAATGTCTCCTGTGGTCTGACAGGTGAAGTCAAATTGTTCATAGTCACGTCGCTGTAGATAGGATGAAAATAACTTCGAGGTTTAGCTGCCTTCATACTGAAAAGGTTCTTTGAGCAAGCATGTGAAATATAGTTAAACTGTTACTAGAATTTATGAAGTGATCTTGCTCAAGGGTCATTTTAATGGAATTTCTCCAATTGTCTCTTTTTCAGGAGACCTCATGGAAGGGGAGCTTTATTCTGCTCTCAAGGAGGAAGAGGCCTCTGAATCGGTTTCCAGCACGAACTTCAGTGGTGAAATGCACTTCTATGAGCTTGTAGAAGACACAAAAGATGGGATCTGGCTGGTACAGGTATAGAAATTCAATCCTTTATTTTTATTTATCACATCCAAAATGTGTTTCAAAGGAGGAGTTGATGAGGGTAGTTAAGTAGGAGTAAAAGTGTGTAACGGAGTGATGGTGGCAAAGCTAAACTACATCGGGGAGATCGTAAGGCATAAATCCGTTCGAGAAACCACGAAAGACTGGAAGTGACAGAGTTCCTATACAGGCAGGAAGAAAAACCCCCTGTTATTCTGTGGATTGCTTTTTGAAAACCAGGTACTTTAGAACCAGAAAACAAGCAAAGCAGCACACGCTCAAGTACACAGACTCTGCCAGTACTTGGCCCTGGTATTGTAAGAGCTTGTGTAACGTGTGAAGTAGGTGCGTTAAGTGTAGATCCCAGGTGCCGCTGATGTTGCTCTTCCTTTTGGTTGCCTTACATGCTGAGACCCAACCAGTTTAAGTTCCTGTTTATTTAAGGGGCTTAGAGTACTTTTAGAATCTCTGGTGCTTCTTCATGAAGGCCAGATCTCAGTGTGCAGCTTCCCAGGCTAGCAGGCTGCTTCTGCAATGTATTCCAGTAGCCTAAAGTTAACCTTCCCCCAAAACTTGTGGCCTCACCAATTTTAGAGTGTGCTTCCCCAAGGCTGCATAAGAATAGGAGAACATTTAGGAAAAGAAAGACTTTTGCAAATAGAATTCTGCAACAATTTATCATCACTCTTGAGAACATAAGTAATCTAGACTAAAATGTAAAAATGCTTTTCTGCATCAACCTCTCTATCAATAAGAATTTTTTTTTTTTTTAAGGCATAAATCCTCTGCTAACAGCCACGTCAGGCAATTGCAATTCTCCACCAGACAATTAATTGTTCAGATGACAGCTCTCCTGCCTGGTTTGTCTGGTCTCCTCACTTCATGTTTTGTATTTAAATAGATTATCAAGATTTAATGACTTCCTGTTATTAGACCTGTGCTGTGTCACCACATCAGATCTCACCCTAAAATAGACAATGAGAGGGCAGATTACCTTGACAGTCAAAATAGCATTTGTGTTGTGGGAAGGACGTTATTTGGAGTTTACTGAATCTAAGTTTCAGGTTTAAATCACACAGAAGGGGATTCTTCAAGCAGAGGGGGAGAGCGTTGAAAGGAGGTTTACACATCTCCAAGCTAGCTGCCAAATACAAGCATGACTACGCTGTGAAAAACCCTCCTTCCTCCCCGCGCAGCTCAGAAGAGTAAAATATGGTAGTTCTCTGTTGTCTGTTGCTTGTAGATTTTTAATCGTAATATGTTTTCAGCTAGCTTTGTAACAGCAGATCTGATAGGCTGTGTTTTGCTATTTCTAGCATGATGAATGTTGTCATCATTCTGGGAATATTTGCACAGCTATTCAGTTGGTCACAATAGCTGTGGAAAAAAAAATTAGTGGAGTTTACTGAATAATTTACTTGCTGAACGCTATTTGTCTGTTCCTCCACAATAAAATCTACCAGACATGTAAAATTTCTTCTTTTCATTCTTGCCTTTCGTGTTTTCATCGCTTTGAGTTTTCATTTGCTCCCTTCCCCACCGTAACTCCCATCTGGATTACTCCTCTGCTGGATTCTTCGTGTCCTTTCACAGGTTTTCCCATCCTCTTCTCTTAGACCTCATCCCTGCAGAGCTGTTTTTTATCATCACTCCCCTGTTCTAATTCTTGATTACCCTCCTTTGCCCATTCTCCTTTACCATTAGGCACCCTGTGGAAACTTTACAGCTAATTAATCAGCTCGATGCTTAGGCAGGGGAGAGTACGAGAGTGAGGATGCCTGATGGATGGGTTTGGTGACCGCAGACAAGGTCGGAGCATTCCCCTGATCTGCTGTTGCTGCCAGCTGGGAAGTGGAAAGGATCCCTGGATCCTTTTCAGGATCCTGACCCTGAATCTCTTGTTTGACGGGCGCTGCTGGAAAGCAGTACAGGGAGAGGAACAGTTCTGGCTCTGCTAGCACAGTGGCTGGTGGTTGAGTTGGTTTTGAAGACTTTAGGATGATGTATGGGAGGATGGGGACTCTGAAGATTGTTTTTATTTTTCCAGTGCATGTAAATGAAATTTCTGGGGTGGCACAGGCTGCTGATGTGATAGCCATCACTGTCTGCAGAGACTCAAAGGAAAAAGAGGAAATTATTATTATTCCTTGGTATGTTTGACACAAATTCGGATGTGACTTTATCATTTAGAGCCAGCAAGATGAATTCCTTGAAGAAAGTCAAAGTCCGTACACAAGGGAAACAGCGTTTTGTGGCTTTGTTTCTTTGTTTTCTGGAAAACCCCATGCAAAGCATCCAGGTTTGGTGGTAATTTACCAGGGTAGCTGTTCACAGGTGCCCTCTGCTCCTCTGTGGAGCTTCCGTAGAGCCACAGACAGCAGCATGTTCTCTCTCCTATTAGCTCATGATCTCATCACCTTTCCTTTTATGCCTTTCCCCTCGCTTGCCAGCTGCTGTTGTGCACTTCTTTGGCTGGCAAAGAGGATGAGCGGAGGCTTCTGGAGCTGCTTCTCGTGTTGGTAGAGGAGTAACACGCAACGTTCTCGCTTTTCCAGACTCTGCTCTGGCTCGTGCTGTCTGGTTAGTCTCTAGAAGACTGTTATATCCAACAATATCATAATCATTACGACTTTGAAAACATACAGTAAATGGTCTACAGATAAAAATCCTCTTTGAACAAAGTTAAAATCTAAATTAATGTGTATTTTTAATTTAAACCGTCCTTACTGTACCATAGTGGTAGAGAGAAGTAAAAGGAACTTTCTTCCTGGCATGGAAGCAGGAGGACAAACTTTTTGGTCATGTGTGGTAGAGGTGCAAAGGACATTATTATGTATATAAAATGTCACAGTCTGTTCCACATCTCAGCTTCTTGTTCAAGTGGTGTAGTCAGGGAGCAAGGGATGTGCCTGCAAGATTTTGGTGGTGGTTCGTTCGTTCTTTTGCTTGCATGTAGGATGCGTAATTTTCACATTTGCCTTTTTAATTTTGCCAGGTGATCAGTTGTTCTCGCTACAAGGAAATTAAGTAGAAACACTCAGTTCTTTTCGCATACATTGTTCAGTATTTGTGTCTTTTCCAGTAGCCCTTCAGGATCGTTTACCGTACGATACCCGATTTTAACTTTCAGGATCCTTCTTGAGAGTCTTCATATCCAGTCAAGGGTGCAGAACACCATCAGCTAGAATGTAATAGCCTGCATATCTGTGTTAATTCATTACAGAAGCTCATTTATGCTCAAGCTCTGACTTAACTGACAGCTTAACCAAGCTGTTCAGACTGGTGCATAGATCACCCCACCTCTCTTGAGACACTACACGTAATTTTGAGGTGGTTAATTTCTGCATGCTATGATGGACGTAGTTTTCTGTCTTTGCCTATTTTGATGTAATTTCTCACGGTCTCTTTCTCAGAAAAGAAAAGCAAAAAATCTCCAGCCATCTCTAATCCACATGGATAGATCCTGAACCAGTTGTGAGTTCTTAGGAAAGAGTGACTGTGAGTAAATTCAGTTTCATCAGCACAGTGCCGAATAATAAACGGAGAGTGAGATGTCTCAGAATTAATAAAAGTACAGTCAGTCATGTAGAAACTTAATGATGTTATCTGGAATAAGTGGGCTTTTTCCCATGCTTGTAATAAATAACTCACCAGCCCATTTATAATTAATTGTACTTCTAAATGAGAATTGTCCAAATATTTTTATTTCTGCTTTATCTTTGGGAGGATAGTTAGCAACATAGCTGTTGATTATAAAGGGTTCTATGAAAAGCACGTAAAAAGCTTAATTAATAGACCACGGTTTTTGAACCTCTGTCTGTGTGGATCTCTCAAAATCTGCCAGCGAGTGCGTGGACTCTTCACAGCAATACCAGGCTTCTTTTGCTCACTTACCCTCTGCAGGCGCTGCGGAAGAGCTCTGGACCTCCAGGGGTCTGGATATCTCAAACTGGAAACTGCCGAACCAGACTGCCAATTCTTGCATACATATAACCGTACCAGGTCATTAAATCAGTCAGAAAACAGTTTTGCCTTTGGCAAAAATCATGCAGTTTTTAACGATTCAGATGTCTGTCCTCCTTCATGTGGAGACTGACTTGCTGAGGCTGGGTGAGGATTGACCGCTCCCGAGGGAACTACCTGTACGTGTGTGTGTGTGTGCAGCAGGAAACGGCGTCTCGTATTTAATAGGTTTTGTTATTCCTGGTGGTTTAAAGCCTGTCACCATGCCCTAGTGCCCAGAGTTTTTGAGCACTCGGAGTTGTTGTCTTTGTGGCTAAAGCTGTAAAACCAAGTTTTGACTATTCATGCGTATTCAAAATTGTGTGCTCTTGGTATGCGCAGGTGTGCCTGACACCTGGTATCCTGGGTAAATTCCAGCTTAGATGATGCCTGAGCTTCCCTTGGTGCTTTCATTTGGATACGGTTTTCTCTTCCTTTTGTGGCATATACTGCTAACCCATAAAGGCTGAGAGGTGCTGCCAATGTGAATATTTTTCTATCACAAAAAATGCATACATGAAAACCCCACATATGCATCACTTAGCTCGGAGCTTCTGCTGTGTTGTGATGATCTCACAATTCTTGCTTTCTGCTTTGAGGTCTTTTTTTTTAGTGTTGTTCCCATCTCTGGCGTGATGTAACAAACACGAATGGAATGACTCTTAATTAAACTAGCAACGCGCAAGGGCTGTCAAACGTGCAAAGTAGACAATTCATCAGGGTGTTTTTCCCTTTAGTGTTACTGAGGTTACTTGAGATTCTTGAGGCCGTTAGAAGCAGTAGTAACTGGTTGTAAGGGCTGATTCTGAAATGTTCTCTTTTAAAAAAAGCTACCTGTCAAGGCTGTTTGGGTTCTGGGGGAAGTTATCCTTGCGTAATCTGTGGTCTGCAAAGTACTCGGGTTGCTGCAAGTTGCTGGAGCGGAGGCAACTTGTTAAGAGCATTTGTTGTTTTCGTTCCAGACAGTATACCTGGTCCTGTGCGTGGTACGTTGTAAGGATTACTCCCCATTAACAAAATACCAGTTAATCCTATTTTAGTATCTTTGCTATGAGGATATGTGTAAGCTCTTTCCTCCATCACGCTGTCATTCTTCTTCTGCATCAAATGGTTAGTACATTTCTTTCCTCTGTATATCTTAGCCATAGGAGAAAGCAGAGAAAATAATTGAAGGAGCTAGAATTGGTTCAAATAATGAGAGTTGAAATACCCTGAAGTGTTGTTTGTTCTGCATTTGTCAGTCTCTGACTTTCATTCTCAGGCCTTGCGATATTTGAACGTTTTTAGTTGTGAGTGAGCTCCAAAACTTACTGAGACCTAATCTTGTTACAGTGACCTGTTTCGAAACCTCTGCATACCTGTCTAAAAGGGATTGAACAAAATCTGGTTTAAATGAACAGAAAATAGGAGAATGCTCGAATAAGGCTACTGGCATGTGCTCAAGTGCTGCTGGAGTACCAGGGCAGGAATCTGTCTTCACGTATTTCATTGCTACAGCAAACTCTTGAACAGCAGCAGTGTTGCCTTGGTTCCTTCCACTTCAATTTCCATCCCATCTTCTACTGGTATTTTAAGAATGTATGTTTCATAAAACAATAAAAAAAAATCCTTAATGGGAACTGGGAATTTAAGGAGCAACTGCATCGATGACCGTTATGAAGCAGATATTGTGATATCTAGGCACGACACTTTTGGTTTGGGTTAAGAAAGAGAGGCAAAGCATCTTCCTGACATTGTCCTATTTTTTCCGAGTTTTTATATCTTTCTGTCTCCAGGGCATTTGTTCTTAAAGTCTGTTTGCTTCTTTAATGTCACAACTATGACTGTTTTAACTTGTAGATCAAAATGATTCTATTAATTACATTCTTGATTGGCCTCTTTTGGGACAGTTCTGTCTAATTCAAAGTCAAGAGAGCTCTTCCAATGCAAAAGGTACCTATGCAAATGCCTGTTCAAGTCATCAGGATTTCTATGATTTCAGTATTGTATCTCTCTAGATTAATTCTATTTTAACTTGGTTTTCTGTGGTATCTGGAAGCCACCTTTCTCGGTATTTGTGGAAACTAAACAAGAAAACTCAATCAGAACGTGTAGAAGTAAATGAGATTTCCAAACCCCCGTCTTTCCATTTTTACTTTGCAGATCTTGGCGGCATAACTGACCTGCAGTATTTCAGTGTCGTTGGTTGAGGATCTCCTGACCTTTTGGGATATTGCGTGGGCCTCCCAAATTCACAGATGTAGTACGAAGAAACTTGAGTCTGAGACTTAAAGGAAGTTTGCAGATGGATGTCCAATGAGGGCCTGGCCTTCTCTTCAGCGTCTTCTTCCACCAAAGAAGCCAGTAATTCATACATAGAGGAAAGATGGGAATTGAGAGCCTGCAGTTAGAGCCAGTCCTCTGGCCCGGGTTAGGTGTCGATGAGGGAGCGGATCTGTTCCCTGAGGAGGGATTGTTAAATGGCAGGGTTACTTTGATCCTGTTGGATTCTCTTAGCCCATTAAGATGATTAATGGATTAATTGGGCTATCTTCATTGTCCTATTTGTCTCTGACATATGATATTTTGCAGACTGGGAACAGAGCTAGTAATAAGAAAAGCTTGAAGAGTTTGTGTTCCTCTGAATGTGGTGTTTGTTTCCCAGCTGTGCTAGGTGATCTCATAAGATACCTTGTATAAGCTTTGTATTGCTTTAAAAGGAAATAGAGCATGTGACCGAAAGGGACCTTCTCGATGAGCGAGTGCAGCTCTCTGCTAAGACTGTGGAATATGTGCTTATAAACCAGCTTGCTGTCTTTCTTAAATCATACGTTGGCTGAGCGTAATACTCCTATTGACTGTTCCGCTCTTCTTGGAAGCCTGTATCCGACTTCTGGCCCAAGCACAGTCTTGGTTAATTTGTTCCTATTGTGCTTAAATTGACATTGCCCTTTAGTTTCACTGACTCCTGATGTCTACCCCACTACTCTCAATATGTGAAGTCAATCAACCAGTTTGTTTTGTTGGGCATAAATAAATCCTGGGCTTTGCTTATTTCACAGCCAGTTAATATTGATGGCTCATAGTTCCTTTTGGATCAACTAATAGACCCAAGGTTTTCCTCCCGTCGCTGTTTCTAACTGATGAACTCCCCGAGTGTCCCGTTCGTTACTGAATTCAATTTCATTTCTGACACTCTGCATTACAAGATTTGTCCAGCTCTTCCCGCGTGGCGTTATAATCCTCTTTTGTACACAGACTTTTTTCCCAATTTTGTGTCATCTACAAATGGTTTTGGGAGACTTCAGGTTTCTGCAGGAAGGGCATTGATAGGAATATACGCTGAACTGAGCTCTAAGGTAAATCTATTAAGTCTGTTAGCACCTTTCTGGCCTTTTGATGTTCTCTTGCCTTAGCCAATTTCTTCCTCACTTTAAAACTTTTTTTTTTTTTTTTACTCACTATAAAAGCTTATCTCCAGTTCTCATAAAAATTTTCCACGTGGAATACAGGATACTCTACCAAACTACAGATGTGGTGCTACGTTCCCTTTCTCTTTAAACTCGTTTTTTCTCCTGGAAAAGATGGATTTTTAACTCTCAACTTAATCAGGGATGATACATCTTTAGTAATTGCATGCTGGAAGGGGGTGGAAAATTCAACCATCTCTGCACCTTTAAAATCTGTTCTACAGTCTTGCATACTGTTGAGATCAAACTGGTGGGATAATTTTATCATTTGCTCTTAAATATAGTTACTAACTTGTTATTCTCCTGTCAAAATGTAAATTAGTCTGACAGGGGTTTTATAAGAAGTCGTTGCAGGTTCATCTGTGATTTTGTGTGCTCGTCATATTACAGTTCTGGGATGGAGCTTACCTGCTTACTCTGATTCCAGTGCGTTAAGTTATTTTTGTTTCCATCTTCAGGTGATGGAGTCTCTTCCCATAAACTCGCTAACCTGGTCGTGGCCAGCCATCTCCTCTTCACTGAAAACTGAGTCACAGCATTAATTTTGTTTTAAAAAGAAAATTGTCTTACGTTTCTATCCCATCTTCATTGTATGGTGATCCTGCTGCTTTTCCCCCCATTCTACTCTTACTCATATGACTGAAAAACCCTTTGGTGCAGCTTGTAATATTCCTTGTATGGTCTAACTTGAATTGCTCATTTTTCCTTACATTTTTTTTGATTTCTTGCATATCGTTCTCTGCTAGCTCTTCCTTTTGACCTCTTTTCATTCCTTGTAGGCTCTCAAACATCTAACATCTTCTGACATTCTCTAACATCTCTTTGGAAGTGCCTGCTAGGAAGAAGTGCAGGACTTGACTTTTTTTTTTTTTTTTTTTCCCTTTGCTTGAAATATAAAATCCTGATAGCTTTAACACCTTGGACTTGAAGAACTTCCAGGCCTCTTCCACATTCAAATTCCTGGTCTCCTCAGTCACAGGTTTTTAAGCTAAATTTCTTAGCTTATCAGAATTCACACTTCTTAAATAAAATCTGTTACAAGCGTTTGCAAGTTATCTTTAATTTAAATGGAATTACATTGTGATTGCTTAACCTGCAGGATTTTCTGAGACTTCCTCATCCACAGAGACGCTGACTACTTTCCAGAATACAAACCCTTGCCTCTGTGTGGTGAACTCCCAATGTTGTCAGTGGGTGTTGTCTGCAAGGAGCAGCTGCAGTGGACATGTTTATTTGGGGTTTTTTTGCCATAAGGACATAAAAAACCATGAGCCTGAGAAATTTTACAAAGCTTCGGTGTGCAAACCATAGCAGGGTTCTCTCCATCTAGTTACAAAACACAAACTGCTAGTTCTGTCATTGTCCTTCAGCATAAATAATTTTCTCTAAGAGGAAAGACTTTTCCATAGGAAGGGAATTAAAGTGGTATTAAAAAAATCCACAGTACAGCCAGATGACAGTAAAACTTACTGGTGACCGTATTTGCAACAAATTCTCTTGACCCTTAAGGTGAATATTATAACGTCAGACAGAAGCAGCAGCAGAGCAGGATCATCCACATAAAATCAGCACGCTCTCAACAGCTGTGCTAGGCTTTTACAGAACGTGCAGACGGAATCTTGGAAGAGATCGATCTCTGAGTAGTTACACCAAAGAGTAATCCAGTTATCAACCTTTCACTTTTATGCTTACTAATAAAACGTAGTGATGCCTTACGATGTCGGATGCGTTTATTGTGCCGTAGATAGCTCTGAGGATGTGCTGGCGTTAAGGTGTCTTTAGGAATGTGATCTCTTTTAGTTGATGTACAGGAAAGGAGGAAATTTAACGTATCCCAAGTGATTGTCTCAGTTACATTGGGTGATGTAAAGAAGGCTCCGTAACACAGATTGCCCCGGCTGCTGGTCTCGGTACTTGAAGGTTACGTTTAGCAAATCAGAAAGGCTCTTCTAGGTGATGTGTCTGTCTTGAGAACAACCTGAAGGATTCTTATCTAGATGTTCACCTCTGGTTTCATTTAAACATTTTGGGCTCAGTGGAACGGGAGTGTAATCCATAACTTCAGTTTAACTTTGTTTCCTTATGTAGAACATTCTGCTTAGTGAATTCGCTGATTTTCAGTTTCTGAGTGGATGCTACTTACCACAAAGCAGGTCTTTTTGGGGTTGGTTTTTTTTTTTGAGTCTCAAAGGACAGACACGCTTTGCAGCTCTGCATCTCTGTACACAGAGAACTGTTAATCACAGTGACAACCTAACTTCCAGGGGAAAGCTGACATTTCAGGTTATTAAGTCAGAAAATGATTGGGAGAAGTTTAATGGGGGGTAAACAAATACCTAACAAATGGAAGTTTCAAAACTTAATTTAAAAATATATTTTAAGTGGTTGCCAGTAAGCCTGCAGGAGCATGTGAGGCATTTCTAAAATAGAAACTCTGATGGCTCATGGAATAATGCATGATCGGTCATGTCATTCAAAATTACCTGTCAGCTGCAGGCAGGCAGGTTTTTCTTGGTTTGTTTCCCCTTCCCTATACAGTTATAAGTCAGAGGACGAGTGCTTATTCTTTGTCACTCGTGTCTGCAGAAGCTTACGTCTAGGTAATCTGGAGCACTGCTTTAATATACTAGGTGAGAACAAATTAGACCATGGGATATATCACAGTGAATGATCAGGCTGAAATGGCAGGCAGGGCATGGCAGTTGGTGGAACAGTCACGTAAAGGTACCGAGTGAGTCACTGCCAAAGCTGGAAGGAGTCAAGATTTTTTAGGCATTATCTGGGACTTTAATCACTAGTTTCCACTGCTTAGAAATGGCTGTTGGCAGCCTAACCTGGTACCAGGTACATAGGTTCCAACTCATTGTGCTTGCTCTGAGACAACATTTCTTTGGCATGTAACTTTTCATGGAGAATTGTAACAGCATAATAGTCTTTTTTTACTGCGAAGAAGAGGAACCTGCTGCACCCTCTGCCTTTCTCTCCTACTATGAACTGGTTAATGACAGTTTTGTTATTTTCCCAAGGTTTTTGTTACCTACCACTGATTTTAGTATCTTAACAGGTACTTAAAATGATGATACGCTTTCGTCTTTCTGCAGAAACGGTATTTCTGTCTTAGAGCTTCACTCTCCAAAGACTCCTAGTGTGACAACCAGTTGCATATACCTATTGTATGTTCTAAGAGAAGGGGAAAACAGTATCAAGGGTGACTAATTCTCTGTTTTCATGAAACTTGCTCTTTATTTCGGGAAGCAAACTTCCTGTGATACTAAATGATTATTTTGTTTTGGCAATAGGTCGTAGCAAACGACAGAAGCCCACTGGTGGGTAAAGTCCACTGGGAGAAAATGGTGAAGAAAGTATCAAGATTCGGCATACGTACTGGCACTTTTAACTGTTCCAGTGACCCCAGGTATATTCTTACAGGATTATCTAAATCCCAGGAATCTCTTAAGGCTCAGCTGTGTTCTGGCAGCAGGGCTTGCTGCGTTGTAAAAGTAGCTGTGACAGAAGGTGGCTTTATTCATGTTTTTATCTCTACTAAAGTCTGTTCAGAATTCTCCATTATACTGTTTATCAGCATCGTAAACACAGACCTGCAGCTTCCTGAAGCATCATGTGGGAAACGCATGATTAGACTGTGCGGAGCGTAATACGGCAGTGGGAGGGAATGGGTGGAAGAATCTGGCCTTATAGTCCAGGCATTCGGGGAGGAGAACTCTGCTTACTTAGGACAGAGCCGAATATATACAGCCCGTGGAAGAGAACTGTATCAGTTGTAGAGTTGTTAAACTGCCACCTGGAAAGGAGAAACACAGGTTAGCATGAACCTTGCAAATAGTGCCTGCTTCTCCAATTACTGACAGATCCTGTTCCCTGACAAATGTATGTATGTTTATATAGAAACTTGCCACACACCCTTTGACAACATACAGTGCGCTATGCAAGATTTGCTGTTGTTTGCATATGATGTCAAACAAGGAAGAACAGCAGAGATAAAGAAGCTGTTAATAATTCTGTGTTGCTGTAAAAAGATTATTATTTATTTTTTTAACATTTCGCTGGAAGCATTGGCTTCACGTGCTGGGAAACTTTGTCTAGAATTCCAGTGGCATGTGTGGATATGCACATGTCCTGCACAGCGTAAGTCCTAAATGTTTACAGAAATCTCAAAATTAATCATAAGAGAAAATTCTTAGACTTTGCAGTGCTTATGCAAAATAATCTGGTATAATCAAAACACTGGCATTTGAACATCTTAAAAATTTGGCAGTGTTTCCCTTTGCGTAGCTCTTAACCAGTCTTAATGTTATGATCAAATATTATGTTTTAAATGAATTCATTTTTTCCTAATACAAGAAATATTTTGTTGAGTAAACCCTTGTGAATAGTTCTCATCAGGTTGCAGCTGAAATTCAGAAAAACACCGCACGCTACAGTAGTCAGGATGCCTTTATGAGTAGGGTGGTATCTTATGGCTCCTTCTAAAAATGATACATTCAGATTCCTGAGGTGGGAAGTTGTAATTGTCTAAATAGATGTTGATAGACCAAAACCAGAGAGGATGTAGGTAAGATGGCTAGTGAATGAGGTGGCTGGCCCCTATTTCAATTTTACATGCCTGCTGGCTGTGTAATGTTTTGATTGTTGAAACCTGCCAGTCATTTCCTAAAAGCGGGACTGGATAAATAAGGTGGCATAGCGATGCCCGTAGGAAAGATGCATGAGAGGAGGCACCTTCTGAGTCATTAGACTCGTCTCGTGGTTTCTGGGGCCTGGACCACCACTCATGGTTCAGCCTTGGAGAGCCTCTTCTTTTAGGTATGGATTTGGAGCTCATCTCATCTCAGCACTCTGCCTGCCAGACAGCGGGGGTATTCTTTGAGCCCAAGTCACTCGGCAGCATGTGTCTGCTTCCTCATCCGCTGGTTTTGTGGCGCGCTCTCTCACCACATCTCTTAGCCTGTCTGCATCCTTCCAAAATAGCCCCAGTAGGAAGCAGACACTCATCAGCTTCATTAAAGCAGCTGCGAGCAGGCCAATGTCTTGTTTCGCCAAGCGTCAGTGACGTGAACTAGGATGGAAGGAAGCGCTGGGAAAGTTGTCTACAGGCTTGGGAAAGCTGTGGGGCATTGAGCTGCACGGTAGTGGTTATCTTGGCTGGAAGGCCAAGGGAAAATAGCTTCTAATACTAAAGCTTTGTAGTGAAGAGTCAGCTTGCATATTTTTCAAATCCAGTTACAAAGCAGGACTGACTGTATGGCCTTGTTTACTACAATGACCCATGAAAATTCACACTATTCCTCTTCCTGGTTTATGGATATGTATCTCTTTACAACATTTCTGTACGGTTGATAAGAAACATATTGCAAGAATAAATACACTTTGCCAGAGAGTATCGGGTGCCGGCATTTCCTACCGTTATATGTAAAGATTCCCAGGTGCTCAGCATGTCTCATTTTTGGGCTCGTAACAGAAATTTAAGGACTGCAGCTCCAGGGCTCTGAAACGCTGTAATCTAACCTGCCATTTTCTTTGTAGATACTGCAGGAGGAGGGGTTGGCTGAAATCCACCCTCATAATGTCGGTCCCACAAACCAGTACCTCCAAGGGAAAAGTAATGCTTAAGGAATACAGCGGGCGCAAAATCGAAGTGGAGCACATTTTCAAGTGGATCACAGCCCATGCTGCTTCTCGGATCAAAACCATCTATAACTCTGAACATTTAAGAGAAGAATGGAACAAAAGTGACCAGTACCGTGTGAAAATATACCTGTTTGCCAACCTCGACCAGCCCCCGGCGTTCTTCTCTGCACTAAGTGTAAAGTTTACTGGAAGAGTAGAGTTTATTTTCGTGAACGTGGAAAACTGGGACAATAAAAGTTACATGGCAGAAATTGGTATCTACAGGACACCATCGTACATACTGAGGACTCCCGAGGGGATTTACAGATATGGAAATAACACTGGTGAATTTATATCACTGCGTGCCATGGATTCCTTTTTGCGCTCGTTACAGCCAGAAGTTAATGATTTATTTGTTTTAAGCTTAGTTTTGGTTAATCTGATGGCTTGGATGGACCTGTTTATTACACAAGGCGCTACTATAAAGCGTTTTGTGGTTCTTATAAGCACTTTAGGGACGTATAATTCATTGTTAATTATTTCCTGGCTACCCGTCTTAGGGTTTTTGCAACTACCCTATTTAGACAGCTTTTACGAGTACAGTTTGAAACTCTTCAGGTACTCTAACACAACTACTTTGGCTTCTTGGGTAAGAGCTGACTGGATGTTCTACTCTTCGCACCCAGCCCTCTTCCTCAGCACGTACCTTGGCCACGGTTTACTAATTGATTACTTCGAGAAGAAAAGACGACGCAATAACAACACCGATGAAGTAAACGCTAATAATCTGGAGTGGCTGTCAAGCCTGTGGGACTGGTACACCAGCTACTTGTTTCATCCTATCGCTTCTTTTCAACACTTTCCTTTTGACTCGGATTGGGATGAAGACCCGGATTTGTTCTTAGAGCGGCTGGCCTTCCCCGATCTCTGGCTTCACCCTCTGATACCAACCGATTACATAAAAAACTTACCGATGTGGAGGTTTAAATGCCTTGGCGTCCAGTCTGATGAGGAAATGCTGGAAACCTTTCAAGACAGCGAAAGTGACTCTGACAGCGAAAACAAAGAGGTCTTCAGCAGTGAAAAAGAAGTCTCGGAGGACGATGAGCTGAACGTGTTTCATAGGCGCAGTGAAGGAGAGCCTCGGTGCGGTGCCGAGACCTGTTCGTGTGCCAATAAATATTGTCATCACGAGCCATATGAACGGAAAGCGAGATCCTACGGCTCGTACAGCACCGCGGGTGACCTGGAGCCAGACTGGTCAGCCTGGCCCTCTGAGATGTTGCACTGTACAGAATGCGTTGTGTGTCTAGAAAATTTTGCAAATGGTTGTCTGCTGGTGGGCTTGCCGTGCGGCCACGTGTTCCACCAGAATTGCATCGTGATGTGGCTGGCCGGCGGGCGACACTGCTGGGCTGTCTGCAGGTGGGCTTCGTACAAAAAAAAGCAGCCATACACACATCCGCAGCCTTTGTCGAATGATAGCCCATCGTAGCTGTGTGCCGATGTCCTTTGTAAGCTTTCAGGATATTACTGCTTGCCTTTTAAATGTTAGTCACTTAAAAAATTTATGTGGTTTGAAGTTTTAGTTTAAATGTTAGTGCAGTGAACTAAAGTATTACATGATGCTAACGTTAACGACAGAATCATTTGGTTGCCTTTGTATGTTGAACTGAATGCATACTTACCGTACAGTAACTTTTTCTTTTCAAGATCTGGAAACTCGATGCTCTTTGTGTAAGCACAAAAATCAAGCCTACAACAGAAGCATATTCCAGCAAACGTTTACGAGTTAGGATGTGGGTGAAATCGAAATTCTAATCGGAAACAATTGCTTAATTTAAGTGTTTCTTATTTTAGAGTCTGTTCAGCACATCTTTGTTGAATAATGTATGTTGTAAGACAGTACCATTTAAAAAGAAATCAGTGAAATAAATTATTTTAAAAGGAGATTTGTAATGTTAATTGTTTTGATAAATATTTTGTGTGTATGGTTACGGATGTCTTGCTGGTCTGATTTATCTGTGAAGACAATAAAAATATAACACAATTTTTGTGACTAATAAATCATCTCCTAGCGACGCAGGAGTTCATTGCTCCAGTGTTGGCCACTGGCCGAGCGGAAGGTGACAGTGTTTCACTGGGAACTACTTTCTTCGTTAGTCCTCTGCGTTGAGGTGCTTCTCCGCTCAACCAGTGGTTTTCCAGTTGATTACAAACTCCATTATCAGACAGAGACCCGCTTCTGCCAGCTGTCTCTCCAGCACCTTCATCTGCAGACATCTGGGAAGACTTTAGGGTAGCCCTTCTACAGCCTCAAACTAAACCATCCTGAGGTAACAGAATATTGTCACGCAGTGACAGAATTGGCTCCTGAAGGTAAAAATTGCCAGATTCCAACTGCTGGTATTTTAGGGCGATTTCTGATTTCTTGGTGAAAAGCGATAGTTGTTTGATGTCATAAAAAATTGAGCCTGTTGTTTTCTTTATATTTCAATATGAAACTCTGCTTTTGGTTTTACCTTTCAGGAATCATCTGGCTGAAAATCCAGAGAGGAAAAAAAGGGGGGGGAGAGAGGAAGGAAAAAAAAAAACCAAAAAGCATGAGATAATGTAAGTAGAAGAAAAGGCTATACTAGAGAAGTGTTTTCAATTGTCGTATTGTTTTATTTCTTTCCTAGTTTTTGTCCATGTGGTATGAAAGGAGGATAATTAGATGAAGATGATAATAGGAAACGTAAACACGGGTCCCTCTTGCAGTTACGATCCATCTCGCTCCCTGTGCCTTTACAGAGCTGGGAGGCTGGCGCTCACAAAGCTGTCCGGCATGGTTGCGTCTGCCCAGGGTTATCTGGGCACTGTCCTTTTTAATAACGAATGTTTCATGCCTCCAGTCACCAGGTGTCCTCCCAAGAGGGTATTCTCCTAATCATCAGAAGAGATGTATTTTAATTGTGAGTACTTTCTCCTCTCTCGTTTTCTTTTTCTTACTGCATTACTGAAGTGGGGAGGTAGAAGGGGCATAATATCACCAACGCTCCTGTGGTCCGGAAGGTGATTTTTATTCCAGTTGAGGCCTGTCGGTGCATGCCCTTTACCTGTCACGAGAGCTGTGGCAGAGCAGCAGAGAGGCATAATGAGGGCAAAGAGCATTTCTGCTTCCAATTTGTGCGGCAGTGTGACACTTAGCCCGTGTGCTCAGCAGCAGCAGCTGGGGTTGAAATCCACCTTGTTTCAGGGCTGTCTTGACACCTGCACTGAACTGATGCCTGGCCATCCCAAAAGGGGAATAGACAGTGAATGTAAATAAGGCTGTAGATGATGTACTGAAGTACACAAGCGAACCGCTGCGTTCACGGTCCACTGCGGCCTTTCCCCGGTACCTCAGCATTTTGCCAGACACTGCAAGCAGCAAGTTCAAGCAGCGCCGTGTCCTCGGGGCACTGTGCGCTGCTGGAGCGCAGCTCTGCTGCAGAAAGCTGACCTCGTACAAAGCCTGGGCCCAGGCAGCTCCTGTGCACAGGTTCAGCCTCATTTGCAAGCCATTGCGCACGCCTGTTTCAGCTGAAGACTTGCTTTAATGGCCTCAGTTGCTCTACTGGTCCAGTTCTTTTGATGAACGACACAAACTGCTGTTTAATTAGCAGGAGAGCCGCAGAGAGCACATCCATATGAGCAGGTAATTATGACCAGTAGAGAGCTGTGACTGAAAGTTTGGGCCCCTCGTGTCCAATAGCCTGGGTTATATAAATTGTTGCGATCCAGTTCTGGCGATGCATCTGTTTCAAAATCCACAGCAGCTGGCGTAGCGTATTGGTAGTCCCAGCAGGCAAGAAAAAGCAGTTGGATGTATTTATTTTATAAAACGCTCGTGTCAGGAGCAGCAGAGGCATCCAAGTAGGATTGTTTTCTACGGAGCGCAGAATCTCAGACAGCCCTTACCCGATGTGTTGACAGTTTAAAATCCGGAGAACAGAGGAGAGACTGTGCCTGTAACAAGGTCAGCAGTTTCGCTGCTCACTTGTTTTGCCTCGCTGGGCTGGCTTGTGCTAGGAGTTGTAAAGTGTCTTAACGGAGATGCTAAGCATTCCTGAAGTAGTGTTTTATTCTCTACATTCCTGAAAGCTGGCAGCCAACTGCGAACAGAAAATGTCAAACAATTGATCTGAGGTTACTTATGTCAGTAGGTTTAATGAGGGCGACTGGTGTTATGTTCCGCTATTAAGAGAGGATGGATTTAGGTCATCTCTGAAGGTCTCTGCCAGTCTTGCTCTCAGCAATTACTGTTTGGTTACCCTGGCTTTCCCACTGCTGGTACCCAGTCCAAAATGAGAGCTCACCTTTCCAAAGGGTATTTCCATCTTTGTTCTGCATTAGGTTTAAGAAGGAAAAAAGACAAAGGTGAACTGTACATTTTTGTAACTGTTATTAAAATGTCTTTCTCTGGGAAATAATCAATGAGGGCAAATACAATTGTAAGGTATTAGATTAAGCTAATAGCACCCTTTTTTTTCTTAAGCTTTTGCACTCTTTTGGTGATTTATTTTTAGTGCTATGTGTCTCAGCTTGTGCATCGGGGCGCATGGAGATGGAGTGGCTTGGCTGGAGCTCAGCCTGTAGCACCCAGCAGGGCAGCTCCAATCTGTTAATTTTGGCCAGGTTACCCACCCTTTGCTGCAGAGAGGATGGCAGAGGGTGGAGGAGAGCCAGGCCTTGCTGGTGGGGCATCTCCAAAAGAACCTTGGCAGCTGAAGACAAGGCAGGCTGTGCTAACAGCGCCTTCTCTTTCCCTTTGCAGCTCCTCCCTGGGCTGCAAGGGAAAGGCATGAAGTCTACTTTGAGTCACCCCTTGCATGACTAGATTTGCTTTCCTGCAATGTGTGTGACGGGGGAGGGCAGGGGGTGGTGTAACCGCCTCCGGCATCTGCATTTATTGCTGTTATAGATACAGCCTACCACAAACTCCTGCTGCTCCACTTCACAATGCCACGGGCCTACACTCGGAGAAGGTGCTCGGGCACTATAAGCACCGGGGCCAAATCCTGTTAACTCCGCCCTACCCCTCTGCTGCCTACCCGTTCCGCACGCAGTGGCGTCAGGGGGCTGTCTGGGGCCGTGTGAAGCGAGG